GGATTTATTTAGTATTATTAAGTGCCATTATTTACTCTTTAAAGAGTTGTGAATGGGGTTATTATTCTCATGTAGAAGGAATAATATGTACCATTATGTGCTCAATAAAGAGTTGATAATGGACTTATTTATTATCTCAGTCAATATTGATGGTGTAAACATCAATGAAATATATAAAGAGCTTGATGATGTCAGTTCATGTTTAAAGACTGAGATCGATTTTTTTGAAATAAAAAGCTTGTGAAAGCTATAAGTATTATCTCGACTTGAAGATCGAGTTTTTCCTTGAAGAATTCTTATACACCAGTCAGCCTACATCTAAAAATGCTTTTCACATGTCTATATGCATAAGTGTCATGTTTTTATCAAACTAAAGGTTGCCTAATAATCTCTTGAAGCTGATAAGGAACCATTTGGACTCGAAGTCCCTTACTTCATTATCGTTGGAGCACCATTTTAGAACCAGAAGTTCCACAATCGCAACATGCATGATATTTGCGATGAAGTTGCTAGCAAAATCTAGTGCTCCTCGTACAATGAAGTACTTGAATAATGATTAACATATCCTCTGGTATCTTCAAGATACAAAGACATGATATTTATGTAAGAAACTGTGATACGGTTTTAATAGGCTACTTGGGTACTGGCTATTTTGTTTGATCCCCGTAATGCCAAGTCCAAACTGGTTATACAGTGAATTTCCCTAAATGATCAAAATGAGGACAATAACACTTGTGTTGCACAAATGTTATATGAGCTCTAGAAGAGCCATAAGATTATTGTACACTACTCTAGAGACAATCCAGAAGATTTGTCCAAATCCATCTCTTCAAATTTTGAAATATAAGTAGAACTTGAAGATTGTTATCTTCAGGTGGAGACGGGAAGTATATTTACTCGAATCAATTCGGAAGATTGGACGTAAAATCCTGAAGATTAAGTCATAAAAGACTAACAGTTGCGCACTATTTACAACACAACGGGAAGTACATTTACTTGAATCAATCCGGAAGATTGAACGTAAAATCCTAAAAATTAAGTCATAAAAGACTAACAATTGCGCACTATTTGCAAAGCATAAATACATGAATATCATGTACTCTTTTCCTCACTAGTTTTCTCCCATTGGGTTTTCTAGTGTGGTTTTTAACGAGGCATGAGTATGATATAGTAATGACAATGAGGAAAAGTTGCAAAATAATTGGTTAAATGGACAAACCCTAAAATCCTGAAGATTATGCAGTTTGCGCCCTGAAGGCTTATGGTTGTACTCTTTTTCCCTTAACTAAGTTTTTCCCACAGGGTTTTCTTAAGTTAAGGTTTTTAGTGAGGCGACCAAATATAATATATGTTTTTACATATATCATGTACTCTTTTCTTCAACTAGGTTTTTCCCACGTGGTTTTCCTAGTGAAGTTTTTAATGAGGCATGAATATATTTTTTATTGTACTCTTTTCTTGTCTAGGTTTTTCCCACCAGGTTTTCCTAGCAAGGTTTTAACGAGGCAAGGTCGTGGCCAAATAATGTCCAAGGGGGAGTGTTGTAAATAATATTAAGTGGACATTATTATAGTGTTTATAACACTTGTAACGGTCGGAGGTTTATGACCACACTTATGGTTTCCGTTACAATTGTACATTATATATATGTGTTAATACCTTCTTGTATAGATGTAGTTTTGGATGCAAGATTAATAAAACTTCCTTGTCTCTTATCTTGTCTCTACTTTTCTTCTACTTTTCTTATTTTGTGCCGCTTGCAACTGTATTCATCGGTTAGGAGCTAAATGGCCAACGGGCATAATCTCCCACAACAATATATGATTAAAAGTAAAATTTTCATTCTATCATTTTCCCGACCAAAATAATTATATTGATCAAATTATTTAATTATGGTAGACTATGAAATAATTAATGAAGGAAATAGATATATAGATATATATATATATATATATATATATATATATATATATATATATTTAAATCAGAATAAATCTAATCCTTTATTGTCTTTCTATATTCAAAGATAATACTACGTAACAAACAATACTCACGTATTTTTTTTTATAAGAGAGAGGGGGGGGGGGGGGGGGGGAACCCCAAACAGATACTAAAAAGAGTCATCCATGCACTCCAGTGCGCCTGATGGCAACAGCTCCTAATTGATCGCTTCGAACAAACAATACTCACGTATTACAATACTCATTATGGTGCACAAAATTAATTTAAAATATAGTTAAAATTTAATTAATCCATCAAAATTACTTTTTTAATTATTATAATATTTTATAATTATTATATATTTTTTCTTAAAGTGTAACCTAACTTCTCATCTCCATTGTTTTAATTTTGGATACTTTGACGGCGGACTATTAAACAATTTTCACACATTGTTTTAAATAAGAAACAATTTTCATGTATATAGACTAATTAATGAAATAGGTATTAAAGTTTATATTTTTTGAATTAACGTGTATTTTTTATATTTTATTATGTAATTTATATATAATCAATTATTAAATAACATTACACAGAATATTATGAATATTGACTAATCAATGAATTAGGTATTAAAATTTACCTTTTTTGAACTAACGTGTATTCCTTATATTGTATTTTGTAATATATAACCAAAAATTAATTAACATTACACGAAATATTATGTATATGGACTAATTAATGAATTAGGTATTAAAATTTACCTTTTTTGAGTTAACGTGTATTCCATATATGGTATTTTGTAATATATATATATATATATATATATATATATATATATATATATATATATATATATATATATATATATATATATATATATATATATATATAACCAAAAATTAATTAACATTATATTACACGGACAATTATGAATGTAGACTAATTAATGAATTAGGTATTAACGTTTACCTTTTTTTTTTTTAATTAACGTGTATTCCTTATATGGTATTATGTAATTATGTAATTTATATAAAAATGAAGCAGAAACTAAAATTATTGGACAAAAATATTTCAATAATAATATTCTATATCATAAATAGTAAATGCATATTTAAAACAATACGGAAATATTTCAATACTAATATTATACATCATCAATTACAAATGAAACGAAAATTAGGTAAAAATATCATTGGATATGATATTCTAATGGACTAATTTACTAAAAATAAAAAAAAGAATAATTGGTTGAAAATAAATTTGGTATTTCTAATTGACTTAAACTATAAAAGGATCGCTAATTGACTAATATTCTACCATTATATATTTTCACTCGAGTCATCCTCCTGATGGACTGAAGGTGTTAGCTCTAGACGATGATAGACAAGATTGTGTTGCTACTATCATTCCATACAAATGAATTAAGATAGCAATTCATTCCTATAACGAGCACATTTGCCTAATTTAAAAAAAAAATACTAAACAATGATTAATAAAATCTTCAAAGTTACAACACTGCATGCGTACATCTACACACTGGGTATTAATTTGAGCAATTATTTACTCAAATTCAAGCAATGATAAAATCAAAGCACATAAATGATTCAAAGCACATCTTCAATCTTCAATGATAATATTTGATGTTCTAATTTAAATAATTATATATCAATCTAAACTATATATATCTTTGATCCAAATATTCTTAATATATTACAACAAATCTATTCCATGCATCGCACGTGCAAATATACTAGTTTAATGAAAATAGTAATTTTCTTATAATTATTATTATCTTACCCTAATTATATTACATGTTATTACTATTGTATAAAACTTTTATAGTAATAATAGTGTTATAATAGCCAAAGAATAAAGTTGAATAAACCACAAAATACGATCTTGATACAAGATCATGGATGAAGTTTATTAAGGATAGATGAATTCCTTCCACTCAATCACACCTCAGGTTTAGTAATTCAATTCTAATGTACAATGAATTTTTAAACACCAAAGAAAAAAAAATGTACATCGAATTTTTCATATTAGATTACACAAATTTAACAACTGCATAAAAAACCGTTGCCAGCTAATATTTTAAATATATTCCCCTTAAAGTTGCTTCCATATTTGGAACCAAAAACTAAATAGAATTTTTTTTAATATTACTTATTTCTTTCTTTGATAGAAAACTCATAAGAGTAAAAATTATTGAATATAATTCATTCTCCTAATTACTTTTTAATAACTAAAAAACTAATAGTTGTTATTCCTTGTTTATTATATATTTAAAAATTAAAAAGTGGTAGATAATTATTTTAATCGCGAAATTTTGTATAACTGAATGTATGCTCCAATCATCTCCTGTTCTGGGATGGTACTTGAACCTGACATGTTCTATATGGAATGCAATAATAATACTATCAAATCACAAGCTATTTGACATAAAATTACACAATTGGTTATTTTTATTGTATTTGGTAATTATATAAAAAATTTTAACTTAGTATAATGTTGGTCAATTAATAACAAAAAAAATAAAAAAGATTGTAAATATAATGTGTTATTGTCTAAAAATAAATATCAGGATGTAAATCTATAAGAGAAAATTACCTTTTAAAATATTGTCAATAGAATTAAGGCAAAAACTTGTGTGGATGAGGATACGATATATCTGAATGAATAATAATGAGTCTGTACAGGAGTATATATAGTAGTGAATAGTAAACCTATTACAAGACGAATATACTAATAATAATAGGTAACGAATACTAATTATATTACTAATAATAATAGGTAACGAATACTAATGATGATAGAGTCCTAATACTCCCCCCCTCAAGCACAAGGTGGACTAGCAACAACATTGAGCTTGCCACATAGGGTAGAGAAACGCGGACCAGGGAGAGCTTTAGTGAACACATCAGCGAGCTGATCCTTTGTGGAAATGAAGCTAACCTGCAACTCCTTCTTCGCCACTTTGTCACGAACAAAGTGGTAATCAATTTCCACATGCTTCGTACGAGCATGGAACACCGGGTTGGAACAGAGATAAGTCGCACCCAAATTATCACACCAGAGAGTGGGAGGAGCAGCCAATGACACTCCAAGCTCGTGCAACAGAGAAACCAACCAGGTGACCTCCGCAGACACATCAGCCAGAGCCTTGTATTCAGCCTCTGTAGTCGAACGAGCAACCGTGCGTTGCTTCTGACAAGACCAGGAAATCAGATTGCCACCAAGAAAAACCGCAAAACCACTTGTAGACTTCCTGTCAGCTGGATCACCAGCCCAGTCCGAATCCGAAAAGGCATGAACCGCAACAGAGGAGGAAGGACGAATAAAAAGACCAAAGTGCAGAGTTCCTTTTACATACCGCAGAACACGCTTGAGCATAGCCCAATGCTCAGTGGTTGGAGAGTGCATATGCTGACAGACCCGATTCACGGCAAAAGAGAGATCCGGACGAGTAACAGTAAGATACTGTAGAGCCCCAGCAAGACTGCGATACTGCGTGGGATCCGCATAGGGAACCACAGAATCAGAAGAAGGTCGGGACACTGGAAACGGAGTAGCCAACGGTTTACAGTCCACCATACCTGCACGGCTCAAAATATCTCGCATGTATCACTGCTAAGAAAGAAACAAACCACCATCCTTGGAGACCGTCTCAATGCCAAGAAAAAAAGATGGAGCACCCATGTCACGAATCTTAAACTCTGAGGCTAAGTCAGTAAGAAGCCGAGTAACACACGAAGCATCAGACCCCATAACAAGGATATCATCAACATAGACAAGCAAATATAAACAAATAGAGGCACGAGTATAGATGAATAAAGAAACATCAGTCTTGGAGGGTGAAAAACCAACCGACACCAAGAAAGCATGCAACCTATTGAACCACGCTCGAGGAGCCTACTTAAGACCATAGAGTGACCTCTGTAACAAACACACATCATCCGGCCGTGACTGGTCTTCATAACCGGGCAACTGTCTCATGTAAACTGTCTCTGCAAGATTACCATTGAGGAAGGCGTTGTGAACATCCAACTGCCGAATGACCCAACCGCGAGAAACGGCTAAAGAGAGAAGAAGTCGCACGGTGGTGGGTTTGACAACAGGACTGAAAGTCTCAAAAAAGTTTTGCCCAGCGACTTGATTGAAACCCTTTGCGACCAATCGAGCCTTGTGCCACTCAATCGTGCCATCGGCCTTGCGCTTCGTTCTGAACACCCATTTGCACCCCACAACATTCATGCCAGGTGTACGACTAACCAGACGCCAAGTGTGATTCTGGAGCAAGGAATTAAACTCAAGATCCATGGCCTCACGCCACTCTGGATACCGAACTGCCTGAGAATAACAAGTCGGTTCAGGAACAGTCATAAGAGCCACATGCTGCGTCGGTCCTTGAGAACGGGTTGCCATGACATGCGACCGAGGCTAAACAGGCTTCGCCGTACGGCGGCCTCGCTTGGGCGCAGTAGGAGCACCCGAGACCGCCCCTTCCGGAGCCGTAGCAGTCACGGTGCGAGAATCTGAACCAGCTGCGGCAGCCCCGGAATCCGCGTCCAACTTCGGATGAGGATCAGGTCCAGTGGGACAAACATCGGAGCCAACACCAACCCGAACGGCACCAACACCCCACGGCTCAACCGGGCGAGAGCTAGAGACCTGAGAAGGCATAGAAGAAGCAAACGGATATACGGTCTCATCAAACCGTACATGATGACAAATGAATACCTTGTTAGTAGCAGGATCTAAACAACGATAGCCACGAAACGAAGACGGATAGCCAAGAAACACACATGGGGATGACCGATACTGCAACTTGTTACGATTGTACGGGCGCAACAGAGGATAACAGAGACAGCCAAACACACGCAAGAAGGAATAAGAAGGATTAGAATGATGCAAACGATAATGAGGACTGACATTGTCTAGAACTCGAGTAGGCATTTTATTGATGAGATAGACCGCAGTCTCAAAGGCATAATCCCAATATCGCTGTGGAACCGAAGCCTGAGCCAAGAGAGCCAGACCCGTTTCCACAACGTGACGATGTCGACGCTCAACTCTACCATTCTGCTCATGGCTATAGGCACAAGATTGCCTATGATTGATACCCAAAGAGACAAAAGTACGGTGCAACCGTTTATACTCTCCCCCTAAATCAGATTGTATAGAGACAATCTTACGACCATATGAACGCTCAACTAGTGACCGAAACTGCTCGAAGATAGCATACACATCAGTTTTTAATCGCATAGGATAAAACCATACATAGCGTGTGTAGTAATCAACAAACAAAACAAAACAACAAAAACCATTGACAGAAAGAAAAGGCGCTGGGCCCCAAATATCAGTATAAATAAGCTCTAAAACATGCGACGTAGTAGTATTGACACGAGGCAAGGGAAACCGAGATGATTTCCCAAGCATACAAGCACGACACGACACCGAACTATTACTAAAACTAGAATCAATGGAACACGAATTCAAAATCTGCCGCAAGACAAGAGGTTGAGGGTGACCCAACCGACCATGCCAAACGTCAGAGGAGACACGCGAAGCCACTAACACAGCGGGACTCGAACGAGAAACAGGCCAAGAATAGAGACCCCCCGAAGCCTGCCCTCTATACAGAACTTCCCTGGTTGAACGATCCTTCACAAAGAAACAATCAGGGTGAAGACGCAGAAAGCCCAGGAACAAAAAGAACATCAGGCAACCGAAACAGTGTTTTAGAAGAGGCTACCGAAGACGAACCAGTACCAACAATAGGTAAACACTTACCGTCACCAACACGAAGATGATCCGGACCGTTATAAGAGACCGTCGAGGACATCAAAGACGGATCTGGGGTGGCATGGTTTGACGCACCAGTGTCGGGAAACCATTGCTGAGTGCTAACCGAAGCCGCATCATCCACAGGATACGCAACATGCGCTCTCGGCCCCGGAGCTCCATCGTACCGGCGAAAGCACGAAGCGGCCGAATGACCCTCGCCGGAGTAGATCTAGCACTGGACAGCACCGGCACCGCCACGACCACGGCCGCGGTTGCCGCCTCCACGCTGCTGCCCGCCCAAACGGCCTCCACCTCGCTGAGCCGCCATGGCGACCGGAGCAGCAGCAACATCACCAGCATCATCGGCACATATAAAAGCCTGCGAAACAAGAAAATCGGATAGCTCGGGCAGAGACACCGGAGCACCCCTTGTGAGCGACGCCACCAAAGGACGATATTCGGACCGCAAGCCTCAGAATATATACATATTCTGATCCTCTAGCGTCACCGGACGGCCGGCAAGCGCTAAATCCTCGATAAGTACCTACGCACGGCCAAGATAGTCCGGGATCGAAGCATCCCCCTGCTGTAATCCTTGCAACTCGCCCACCAACCGGGGGCACGAGCCCGTGTAGTCGAACCAAGAACCTGTTCGATTGCCAACCACAAATGCCGAGAAGTGGACTTACCGATTGCGAGGTGCATCATCTCGTCGGACAAGGATGAGATTAATAAGGAGAGCACGGCCTTATCTTGACGGAGCCATGCACTCCGAGCAGCGGAAGACGAAGCCGACGAAGGCACGACAGGAACAGCTCCCTCGGCAGGCGGCACGGCAAGCGCGGTGATCGGCGGACATACCGAAGTACCATCGACAAAACCCAACAACCCTTGGCCATCCAAGAACGAAAGAAGCTGAGTACGCCAAAACAAAAAATTGCGGGATGTCAACTTGATGGAGACGAAGTGATGCGCCGAAGAGAAAGACACCCCCGACTGCAGCGGTGCAACAAGCGCGGCCTCGGAAACGGTCCGTTCAGAACTACCAACAGAGCCGTCATCAGATCCGAGGTGCGCCATTAGAGAGAGGAGAGAGAAACCTGCTGATACCAGATGAGGATACGATATATCTGAATGAATAATAATGAGTTTGTACAGGAGTATATATAGTAGTGAATAGTAAACCTATTACAAGACGAATATACTAATAATAATAGGTAACGAATACTAATTACTAATAATAATAGGTAACGAATACTAATGATGATAGAGTCCTAATAGTGTGAAACTGTCTCACGGATCTTAATTTATCCGTAGGACGGGTCGGGTCAAAATAAAATGTAATACTAAATTAGGAATAAAATGTTTATTATTTATATAGAAAAATGTAATACTTTTGAGAAAAAAAGGTAATACTTTTACATTTTGATGTAAAAGTATTACATTTTTTTATCAAAAGTATTACATTTGTCTTTATAAGTCCAACATTACTTATAAGAAAGAACATAATACTTTTGATGAAAAAAGTACTCCGTAATACTTTTACATCAAAATATAAAAGTATTATATTTATCCTCAAAAGTATTATGTTTTCCTTTATAAGTATTTCAGTAACAAACATTTTATTTCTGGTTTAGTATTAAATTTGTTACTACAAGTATTATATATGCATATTGTGATCCAATCTGTCTCACACAAGTATTAATAAAAATAGTAATTTTCTTATAATTATTATTATCTTACCCTACTTATTATACATGTTATTACTATTGTATAAAACTTTTATAGTAATAATAATGTTATAATAGCCAAAGAATAAGGTTGAATAAACCACAAAATACGATCTTGATACAAGATCATAGATGAGGTTTTAGTTAGGAAATTTTTAAAAATTAATTATAGTAATAGATTTATTAAATTCATCACGTCGATCACTCATCTATTCAAGACATCCCGAAATCTAAAAATTTTAAAGGCATTTTCGTCCTTTTCAACTTAAGATTCCAATTTGAACATAAATAAATGAATTTAAGCCCTAAGATCGATCCCAATTCGCACTTCTCCTCCTCATCCTACCTTAATTTGAGGAGAAAAACTACAAATTGGGATAGATCTTAGGGCTTAAATCCCTTTATTCATGCTCAAATAGGGATCTGAATTTGAAAAGCACGAAATTACCCTTAATAATTTCATATTTCGGCATGTCTTAAACGAAGGGGTGACCGGTGTGATAAATTTTGGCACTAAAACAATAGTTGTTGATGAAAATTGGTACTAAAACAATAGTCGTGAATGAAAATTGGTACTAAAACACTAGTCACGGATGAAAATTGGTAGAAATTAAACATGTGGACCAAAACTGTCATTTTGCTAATACTCATAGGACCAAAATTGGTATTTACTAGGCTAAAGTGTCATCCCACACCCTTAACCATTCCTGATTATAAATGATATTTAGAGCCATGAACCATAAAAAAAAAAAAAAAAAATTGTCTAGAACTTTTTACAAGTTTCCTAGGTTACCGAGTAATAATATTGCTCACATGAAACTTTTTATTAGTATTTTTCTTCTTTCGCCTTCGTATTATTATTTTTTTTAGATGTTTCTTTTGTCCTAAACGTATAGGCTTGCTCTGTGTTTTTCGCTTCTCGTTTTTCCATTACCAAATTCCGCAAAGCAGGCCTATATAGAGACGGCCTAATCGGAAAAACGAGAAGCGCGAAAAATGCAGAGCATGCCTATACGTTTAGGAAAAAAGAAAAATATGAAGGCAGAAAAAATACCAATAAAGACTAATAAAAAATTCCATGCCATCAATATTATTACCGGTAAT